CACACACACACACACACACACGTTTGTGTTGCTATCTTTGTGGGGACTTTCCATTGACTTCCATTCATTTCTACAGCCTAAACCACCTTTACCCTTTTCCTAACCCTAACCAACCAAAACTCAATTCATACCTTAGCCCTAACTCTGACCCCTGACCCCTAAACAGGGTTTCCCCTTGTGGGGACCAGGCTCCGGTCCCCACAAGGAGCAATTGGTCCCCACAACGTAGTATATGTCAGGAAAATCGTGCCCACAAGATATTACAAACAAACGCGCGCACACACACACACACACACACACACACAAAGGTAATTATTTTTAATTAAAACTACCAAAATAGCAAAAACTGAAATTGAGAAAAAAATGTTAACTGCAATAAAAACTATTGGGGAAAAACTAACTATGTGAATTATATTTTCTGTTTAAGCTAACTAAAAACCTACCAATATAATATCCTTTGTTTTCATGTTTTTTAATCTATTTATTATCTTTTCAAACTGACATTGATTTATTTTCCGACATTCATAAATTATTGAATAAACAAACACAACAACAAAGATATTTACAGTTCTGATCATTTATTCAGCTTCTTTACAAATCTGGACTGTGGCTAACATGTAGCATTAGCTGCTACACGTTAGCATTGAGATGCTATTTTAGGCTAGCATAGCTTCGCTAATATGCTAGCTCCTATTTGGACAATTTGAACACAACAGTAGTCTTCTCCAGTGTCCAATCAAATCATTTGGAAGCAGAAATCAACACTTAGTGATCTAAAAGAAGCAGCTTCATCATCGCTGCTGTTAGCGGATGTAGCTGTGCGTCTGATTTACAGGCGTATCGGAAACACAACACGCAGGTTCCGGTCAGGACTTTTGCATATTTACAAAAAAAGAACTATTTCTGTTCTACCCAGAGAGTTTGATTGGGTTAGCTTTAGCATGATGCTAGCATGGTTCTGGCTAGCACCCAGAGGTTTCCGCATGCTAATGCTACCAACAGGACAGAGTCTCATCTTTGAGATGCTACTTTAGCCTCAGGCTTTTAAACATTGATTGATTGATTGATTGATTGATTGATTGATTGATGTATGAAGAAGACGAAGCGGTCAGCCTGTCGTCTTGGCGGATGTCTCCGTCGGCGCGGCGCCGCTCTTATCGCTGTGGCTCAGATTGGCAGCGGAAGCTGACGATGTGACACGGATCTGGGCTTTTCCAGGCTTATATTTCAGGACTGTGTCGGGTTCATCCTCAGCAGCATTTGACCTCTGACCCGGCCGGCCTCGGGCTGCAGTAACGGAGCAGGCTGAGGTGACAGATGAAGCGTTGTTGGCGTGTCTCGCCTCAGCCTCTCTGAGCTTCGTTTGCAGGGAGTCTGAACAACGCACAGGCGCTAGCCTGTGATTTCCAGTCAGTCGGACTTTGAACCACACGCAGTTTTAGGTCTTCCTGATTATTATTCCACATCATGTAATAATATTCATAAAGTCATGTGAACGCACAGCGTCTCTCATGTTGCTGCTTCTGTACCAGCAGGGAGGCTAAAAGTTTAAATGTCTCATAGTTTGACTTTGCTCTCTCATATTTAACCGAATCCCTCTTTGACAGCCTAACCCTGACGAGTTCTGGAAAACTGCACCAAAGTGGGCGGAGCCAAGAAACTCTAGGGGGCGTGGCCACATGTGGAGACGAGCAGAACGCTGCGACTTTTTTCAAAAACACAACTAGCAGCTTTTTTCTAGAAAGCAGCTAGCTACAACTCTGGTAACACTTCAAAAAATTACCACAAACTTAGGAACTTTTTTCAAAACAGCGACAAGCTAGAAGTCTGCCTTTTTTTATCAAAAAGATATTAGCTACAAATTTTACAACTTTTATCAAAAAACAGGTAGCTGCAAATCTTACTCGTTTTTTGCTACAAATAGCTGCTTTTCTGTCCAGAGCTCTGATATTACTAGCATGATGCTGCCTCTACCACATTTGACACGTGGTGGATTGTTTTTAGTTTTAACCTGTCTGTCACTAGAGGACCCAAATTTGGGTCCTCTAGTGACTTTTAGACTTTTAGTCTAGTGACTTTTAGATGTGCCTCTGCTGCACCACACCTGAAAAGAATAATTAGGTCATTAGCAAGGCTCAGGAGAACAGATCTACACAGGGAGGAGGTAATTAAGCCATTTCATTCCACTGTTTTTTACCTGTGGCACATCTAAACACTGCAGGACAGCGGCCCTTGAGGACTGGAGTTTGACACCCCTGTCATTGTGAATGACAACCTGAGACCAACAGGTTAAAGTCTCGTCTTGTCGGTGTTTGTTTCTCCAGAAGACATTTTGTTGGTCCATGTCTGCAGACCTCCGTTCAGCTTCACGGTGCCGCCGTCCTTCCAGCAGATTAACGTTCATGATTTGAACCTCGGTGGTTCCTGGTTCCCTGTCATCTGAGGAGGACAGTTTGAGTCTTCTTCCTGGTTCATGACTATCCCAGCCTTTAGATGTTGAGGGCGTTTCCATGAGGTACTGCTCAGTCCAGACCCAGTCATCATCACTCACCAGAACCGGTTGGTTCTGTGACGTTCTCAGGTTTTGCTGTTCATGTGTATCTTTGCGGCTGTTTGTGGTTCTGGTCCTAAATGTGAACTCATGCTCCCTGTTCTGTGGATCATCTCATCCTGGAAGAAAAAGGTTGATATGAATCATGAAAAGCCCCAAATGAATGTGATGTTCTGACGGGTCCGGTAGAACTTGGTTCTGTTCATAAATGAGTGGCTCCAGGACTCTGTGATCTTTTGTAATTGGACCGTTCATTAGCTTGTTAGCTAAATCCTCCATCTCTGTCTCAGTGCAGAGCCTCTTATCTGAGAACATTTACTCTGAAGAGACGGACGAGGACCTTGGACTCCTCCTGCCTGCTGGTCTCATTAATGCGGTCCAATCTGCCGTCATCCTGTTAGGGGATTACATCCACCTGCAGCTCACACTGAGCGTGCTCATCTTCTCTGATGGGCTTCTAGAACCTGCATGTTCCAATCATCTGGATCATCCAGGCTAAAGATGTTAGGAGTTTCTCTATTATTTTGTTTTAATGCCAGAAGGACTTCTGGCCTCGGGTACAAACTCTCACCTCAAAGCAGAGGTATCGTGTGTTTCCAGGCACATGGTTCCATTTTAGAGCATAATCAAGTAACTATGTTCGTCAGTTGATTTAAAAATACTACATATATCAAATCTGACTCAAAAAAATTCTACTTCATGGTTTAACGCTTTTAAATTGTGTCTCTGTCTCTTTAAATCTCCTGCTCTTCCTGAAGCTCCGCCTCCAGGAAGTCATGCCAGCATGGCTCCTCTATTAACCCTTTAATGTTTTTACCAGCGCTGCTCTGAGCAGCAGCTCCTATAATGAGTTCAGCAGCTGTTTGCTAATTGCTGCTGGCTAGTCTGAAGGAGCAGAATGGGGGAGGCGGGGCTAGGCCCACCCAGGCGTTTTAACAGCTGAATGGTTGCCATGGAGATTGAAGGATTTGTCAAACATGAAAGCGTCAAAGTAGCACTGCAGGTTTGTTTTTAATGAGAAACATTAAAACATGATGGAAGGATAAAAAAGATTTCACATGACACCGCCATGTTGAGCAGCTCCTCCCTTCATTACTTATTATTTTTTTGGCTCTAGTGGCCTTTATTTGATAGTTAATTGACAGGAAAGTGGGTAATGAGAGAAGGGGGAAGACATGCAGCGAAGGTCACCAAGGCTGGGAATTGAACCTGCGACAGCTGTGTCGAGGACTGAGGCCTCCATATGTGGGTTGTGCTGAACCCCCTGCACCACCACAGCACAGCCAACCGCCCTTCATTATTACAGATTTCAGAACAGGTCCAGTTTGGTTCTGAGTTGTTTTCTAACCCTTAGCCAGCTGCTGGTCACAGATCTGCTGCTTTACTTTTCTCCTGAGCAAAATTAGAAACAATCAAAGCTGATTTACATCATCAAGACAATTTTTTCATGTTTATGTAGAATAAAGCCAGCAGAGGAACCGGCTCAGTTCAGACGCTCTTCATTCCATTTAGAACAGAACTTAGAATAAACAAACTGGCCTTAAACTGCTCAGATGACAGGAACAAGTATTTATATCATGAAGCAACCTTTATGTTGCTCCTGAATCTGCTGACTCTGCTGTAAAAGCTGCAGCTGCAGGACTTCAAACGGCTCCATGTTCCCATCAGAGAACATGAACTTGTAGCTCAGCAAGGAACCAAGGAACAGCAAGATAAACTCCAACAAAACGACGCAGCGCTCCTCAACAGAACGTTTCATTCAGCTTCATGCTGTGAAACTCAAAGAGGGACAGGATAAACTCCAGGTGAACTGAAAATAAATTTCTTAAACTTATGTTGGTATATGTTATTTGCTTCCAACCATGATGTTATGGAGTTTAATGCTCCTCATGAATATGCTTTTTTCATTAAAAGAAAGGAATAAAACGACACAGGACCGATTCCCCGGCCCTGAGGAACACCGCAATCCATTTGAGTTTTATGAGTGTTTAGTTAGAAAAAGTCTACAAAGCAAAATCACAACATTTACTAGATAATGTCTAAATGAAATTTTCCCATTTCTGAATTTAAAGCTTCGGACGAGAACCAGATGTGAGCCGAGCTAATGTGCTAATAGAGGAGCTAATTTTTCATTTAGCGCTTTAGCATCTTTGCTAAATTTAAAACCATTTCCTTCCTCACTCTCTCCACCCGTGTTGTGTTGCAGCAGATTACGATTATTCTGTACCCAGAATGCATTGCTGTGGAACAGCAGCCTGTAGTTCTACAGTAAACAGATTTATTGATTTTAAACAGAGACATATTTTGTTTAGCGCTTTTGCTAACATTGAAAACATTTTAACTACCTCTAGTTTTACAGGAAATAAAGTCTACTGATGTCTTGAACTGATCAAGAATCTTTCTAAACTTTTTTAAACCATTAACTAAAAACAAAATTTATGCCACAAGAATCAGTTCAGCTTGAATGAAAATCTTTAATTTCAACATAAAATATTGATGTAGAGCAAAGAAAGGCTCTGGACGCCCCTGCTGAGCTTTGTTTGGACCCTTCCAGGACCTGCTGGCCCGGTTCTGGAGAGCGCAGGTCCTCCAGCGCTGCCGACTGGATGCTGCTGCGCGGATAATGCTGAGCCACGGTGCTGCCATGGCAACCGGGAGGGAGGGGTGTGTGGGCCGAGGGCAAATATAGCAGCGAGGGGGAGGAGGGCGACGAGAAACCCAAACAAAAGATCCAAACTGGAGACGTCACCAGAAATCTGCAGAGGAAAAATAAAGATGCTGCTCAGCATTTCAGACGCAGCAGGTCAAACCTGCTTCAGTCTCCAGAGCATTGCATCATGGGAACGCTCACATTGCAGGATGACATCACCCAGGGCCGTGCAGAGACCACTAAAGGGGCAGGTGCTCAAAAAAAAGAGGGCACATCTAACCGCCTTTTAGGATAGAGTATTAACAAAACCACTCAGCTTTCAGAGTTTAATAAACAATGATAAATTACAAAATTGTGAGATATACAATCAAAGCTAAGAAAATCTCTATATAGAGCATACAACTATGTGTCACGATCCCGGTTTCTGTGTGTTTATTTTTGAGATTTCCTGTGTTCAGTCCTGCTTTTCCTGTGAGTCTCTGTCCTGTCCTCCCCGTTGATTGTTTCCCCGGTGTGTCTCACCCCTTGATTACCCCGTGTGTATTTAAACCCACCTGTTGTTCTTGAAAGTCGGATCCTCGTCTAATGTTGTTGTCGTGTTATGGCGCTAAAGGCTGTTTCCCTGTGCCGTCGTGTCTACATCCCTATCTTCCCCGTTGCTCCCTGTGAAACCTGTTTCCTTGTGCCGTCAGTTGTTCCTCCGTGCTGTTCTCTGTTGTTCATCATTCTTCATCTTACCTGGGTCTCCACATCCTCATCCTCACCACCTCAACCACACATTATGACACTATGTAAATGTAAGATATTTTATTAGTAATTTCTTTCTGCAGGTCTATTTTGTTATAGGAAAGTATTGCAATATTCAAACCCGTATTTTACCAAGAAATGTAAATCAGAGCTGGACCACCAGACATTTTGTCTTTACAGAATTACACTATTAAAACTATAAATAAGCGCACAATGCAACCTTTTAGTGACTGTAATCTATAAAACAGAGCTGCCTGTTTGCTGCAGTGGAGNTGAAGATGGTCCATTCAGGAAAGCAGAGCTGCATCAAACTTTAATGTGGAACTGCAGAAAAAAGACAAAAGCAAATAGTGAATTGTTAATGCATGTCACCATGAGAAAAGCCTGCTGAGTTTAGCTTAAAAAAAAACTTTTTTAAAAATTAAAATATGAAGTGAAAACATTATTTGCAAAACAAATTTATTTGTTCATGTCATAAATCTTTTCTTGCTATTCTAAGTTTTTGTTTGTGACTCAAAGTTTTGCTTGTGATTCTCACATGACGTTGGGGGTGGGGCCTAAAATCACAACAAAAGATTTCTGATGTGTGCAAACAAAAGTTTGTTTGGAAAATAAATTTTTAAGTTCACAAGACAAAAATTAGTTATTTAATTTTAAAAAACTTTTTTAAACTAAACTTTTTGTTTTAAAAAAAGGAATCGTTTCAATTCCAAAAGTTTTGATTACAATTTTATTTTACTTAACTGAGGTTAATTTTCTTGTTTTTCATTGAATAATTGGAGAAAAAAATTTAACTTCATACGCTGTGAACCAGACCCAATACTCAAAGCCAGTTAGCTGGAGGCGGAGCCAGAGGAGGGCGGAGCCAGTTAGCTGGAGGCGGAGCCGGAGGAGGGCGGAGCCAGTTAGTTGGACGTGGAGCCAGTTAGCTGGAGGCGCAGCCAGTTAGCTGGAGGCGCAGCCAGTTAGCTGGACATGGAGCCAGTTAGCTGGAGGCGCAGCCAGTTAGCTGGAGGCGCAGCCAGTTAGCTGGACATGGAGCCAGTTAGCTGAAGGTGGAGCCAGTTAGCCGGAGGCGGAGCAAGAGGAGGGAGGAGCCAGGTAGCTGGAGGTGCAGCCAGTTAGCTGGAGGTGGAGCCAGTTAGCTGAAGGTGGAGCCAGTTAGCTGGAGGCGGAGCCAGAGGAGGGAGGAGCCAGGTAGCTGGAGGTGGAGCCAGAGGAGGGCGGAGCCTGTTAGCTGGAGGTGGAGCCAGAGGAGGACGTAGCCAGTTGGCTGGAGGCGGAGCCAGAGGAAGGCGGAGCCTGTTAGCTGGAGGTGGAGCCAGAGGAGGGCGGAGCCTGTTAGCTGGACATGGAGCCAGGTAGCTGGAGGTGGAGCCAGTTAGCTGGAGGCGCAGCCAGTTAGCTGGAGGCGCAGCCAGTTAGCTGAAGGTGGAGCCAGTTAGCTGGAGGCGGAGCAAGAGGAGGGAGGAGCCAGGTAGCTGGAGGCGGAGCCAGAGGAGGGCGGAGCCAGGTAACTGGAGGTGGAGCCAGTTAGCTGAAGGTGGAGCCAGTTAGCTGAAGGTGGAGCCAGTTAGCTGGAGGCGGAGCCAGAGGANATGACAACCTGAGACCAACAGGTTAAAGTCTCGTCTTGTCGGTGTTTGTTTCTCCAGAAGACATTTTGTTGGTCCATGTCTGCAGACCTCCGTTCAGCTTCACGGTGCCGCCGTCCTTCCAGCAGATTAACGTTCATGATTTGAACCTCGGTGGTTCCTGGTTCCCTGTCATCTGAGGAGGACAGTTTGAGTCTTCTTCCTGGTTCATGACTATCCCAGCCTTTAGATGTTGAGGGCGTTTCCATGAGGTACTGCTCAGTCCAGACCCAGTCATCATCACTCACCAGAACCGGTTGGTTCTGTGACGTTCTCAGGTTTTGCTGTTCATGTGTATCTTTGCGGCTGTTTGTGGTTCTGGTCCTAAATGTGAACTCATGCTCCCTGTTCTGTGGATCATCTCATCCTGGAAGAAAAAGGTTGATATGAATCATGAAAAGCCCCAAATGAATGTGATGTTCTGACGGGTCCGGTAGAACTTGGTTCTGTTCATAAATGAGTGGCTCCAGGACTCTGTGATCTTTTGTAATTGGACCGTTCATTAGCTTGTTAGCTAAATCCTCCATCTCTGTCTCAGTGCAGAGCCTCTTATCTGAGAACATTTACTCTGAAGAGACGGACGAGGACCTTGGACTCCTCCTGCCTGCTGGTCTCATTAATGCGGTCCAATCTGCCGTCATCCTGTTAGGGGATTACATCCACCTGCAGCTCACACTGAGCGTGCTCATCTTCTCTGATGGGCTTCTAGAACCTGCATGTTCCAATCATCTGGATCATCCAGGCTAAAGATGTTAGGAGTTTCTCTATTATTTTGTTTTAATGCCAGAAGGACTTCTGGCCTCGGGTACAAACTCTCACCTCAAAGCAGAGGTATCGTGTGTTTCCAGGCACATGGTTCCATTTTAGAGCATAATCAAGTAACTATGTTCGTCAGTTGATTTAAAAATACTACATATATCAAATCTGACTCAAAAAAATTCTACTTCATGGTTTAACGCTTTTAAATTGTGTCTCTGTCTCTTTAAATCTCCTGCTCTTCCTGAAGCTCCGCCTCCAGGAAGTCATGCCAGCATGGCTCCTCTATTAACCCTTTAATGTTTTTACCAGCGCTGCTCTGAGCAGCAGCTCCTATAATGAGTTCAGCAGCTGTTTGCTAATTGCTGCTGGCTAGTCTGAAGGAGCAGAATGGGGGAGGCGGGGCTAGGCCCACCCAGGCGTTTTAACAGCTGAATGGTTGCCATGGAGATTGAAGGATTTGTCAAACATGAAAGCGTCAAAGTAGCACTGCAGGTTTGTTTTTAATGAGAAACATTAAAACATGATGGAAGGATAAAAAAGATTTCACATGACACCGCCATGTTGAGCAGCTCCTCCCTTCATTACTTATTATTTTTTTGGCTCTAGTGGCCTTTATTTGATAGTTAATTGACAGGAAAGTGGGTAATGAGAGAAGGGGGAAGACATGCAGCGAAGGTCACCAAGGCTGGGAATTGAACCTGCGACAGCTGTGTCGAGGACTGAGGCCTCCATATGTGGGTTGTGCTGAACCCCCTGCACCACCACAGCACAGCCAACCGCCCTTCATTATTACAGATTTCAGAACAGGTCCAGTTTGGTTCTGAGTTGTTTTCTAACCCTTAGCCAGCTGCTGGTCACAGATCTGCTGCTTTACTTTTCTCCTGAGCAAAATTAGAAACAATCAAAGCTGATTTACATCATCAAGACAATTTTTTCATGTTTATGTAGAATAAAGCCAGCAGAGGAACCGGCTCAGTTCAGACGCTCTTCATTCCATTTAGAACAGAACTTAGAATAAACAAACTGGCCTTAAACTGCTCAGATGACAGGAACAAGTATTTATATCATGAAGCAACCTTTATGTTGCTCCTGAATCTGCTGACTCTGCTGTAAAAGCTGCAGCTGCAGGACTTCAAACGGCTCCATGTTCCCATCAGAGAACATGAACTTGTAGCTCAGCAAGGAACCAAGGAACAGCAAGATAAACTCCAACAAAACGACGCAGCGCTCCTCAACAGAACGTTTCATTCAGCTTCATGCTGTGAAACTCAAAGAGGGACAGGATAAACTCCAGGTGAACTGAAAATAAATTTCTTAAACTTATGTTGGTATATGTTATTTGCTTCCAACCATGATGTTATGGAGTTTAATGCTCCTCATGAATATGCTTTTTTCATTAAAAGAAAGGAATAAAACGACACAGGACCGATTCCCCGGCCCTGAGGAACACCGCAATCCATTTGAGTTTTATGAGTGTTTAGTTAGAAAAAGTCTACAAAGCAAAATCACAACATTTACTAGATAATGTCTAAATGAAATTTTCCCATTTCTGAATTTAAAGCTTCGGACGAGAACCAGATGTGAGCCGAGCTAATGTGCTAATAGAGGAGCTAATTTTTCATTTAGCGCTTTAGCATCTTTGCTAAATTTAAAACCATTTCCTTCCTCACTCTCTCCACCCGTGTTGTGTTGCAGCAGATTACGATTATTCTGTACCCAGAATGCATTGCTGTGGAACAGCAGCCTGTAGTTCTACAGTAAACAGATTTATTGATTTTAAACAGAGACATATTTTGTTTAGCGCTTTTGCTAACATTGAAAACATTTTAACTACCTCTAGTTTTACAGGAAATAAAGTCTACTGATGTCTTGAACTGATCAAGAATCTTTCTAAACTTTTTTAAACCATTAACTAAAAACAAAATTTATGCCACAAGAATCAGTTCAGCTTGAATGAAAATCTTTAATTTCAACATAAAATATTGATGTAGAGCAAAGAAAGGCTCTGGACGCCCCTGCTGAGCTTTGTTTGGACCCTTCCAGGACCTGCTGGCCCGGTTCTGGAGAGCGCAGGTCCTCCAGCGCTGCCGACTGGATGCTGCTGCGCGGATAATGCTGAGCCACGGTGCTGCCATGGCAACCGGGAGGGAGGGGTGTGTGGGCCGAGGGCAAATATAGCAGCGAGGGGGAGGAGGGCGACGAGAAACCCAAACAAAAGATCCAAACTGGAGACGTCACCAGAAATCTGCAGAGGAAAAATAAAGATGCTGCTCAGCATTTCAGACGCAGCAGGTCAAACCTGCTTCAGTCTCCAGAGCATTGCATCATGGGAACGCTCACATTGCAGGATGACATCACCCAGGGCCGTGCAGAGACCACTAAAGGGGCAGGTGCTCAAAAAAAAGAGGGCACATCTAACCGCCTTTTAGGATAGAGTATTAACAAAACCACTCAGCTTTCAGAGTTTAATAAACAATGATAAATTACAAAATTGTGAGATATACAATCAAAGCTAAGAAAATCTCTATATAGAGCATACAACTATGTGTCACGATCCCGGTTTCTGTGTGTTTATTTTTGAGATTTCCTGTGTTCAGTCCTGCTTTTCCTGTGAGTCTCTGTCCTGTCCTCCCCGTTGATTGTTTCCCCGGTGTGTCTCACCCCTTGATTACCCCGTGTGTATTTAAACCCACCTGTTGT